ATGTATGCCAATCAGCATCGAGCTCGATATCCGTCTGGTACTACTTGGTTAACTGGCAAGGGACACACTGACTTCTTCTCAAGAGGTCCAAGCTCCAGACCTAATCCAGCATTAACAACTGCACTTGTGTGGTTGATAACTGGGTTTATTAAGCTGGACTCAGGCACACAAATGAGTTCCAAAAAACAATAAGCACAAGACAGATGCAATCCAGAAGTAAAGTCAGCACTAGGAGCATCCGCCTCCCAGCACGGTTATGTCAGCGAATCATGCCCTCTATCAGCACAGGCCCCGCCCAGAAGGCAGCTGTGTCTCGGATCGGCTGCTTGGATCCCCGCCCAGCTGCTCCACAAGGCCTCACAATTGATCGTTGGGCTTACACCTTTGCCTCCTGTCACAGGTGATTGTCAGGGATTCCTGTTGCCTCATGCTACCTCGCTTCACCACTACGCAGCTGATTAATGCTCCAACAGCAGTTATCTGGCACGCCACTGCAGCAACTGGCTTCACAAACCCCCAAATACCAGGAGTTATCCCCCCCCTCCGGGTAAGGCAAACCCTGAGGGAAACCCGGGTTTTGACACACTGCTTGTATTTTTTTTTTTTTGTAGTCATGTATTTAATTTCAGCTCTTTGGATGACTGAAAAAAGTTCTAAGATATTTGAGTGAACTTAATCAGGAAATGAAGTAAAGTTGATTTTAGTTTCGATTATTAATATAAACCCAATGGGCTAAATTAGATTAATTTTGGATTGTGGAATATTGTTAGATTCATTTTTTCCTAGAATAGGAGGTTAGTGTCCCCTTGTAAGATACTGATCCCTTTTTTCAGAGCCCATACATTCTGTGAGCAAATCTTGTGCCCATGCAAATCAATATGAATGAAAAGTTCCACTTCAAACCATTATTTAATATTTTGCCTTCCTCTAAAACTCTTTAAATAAAATGTGAAAATGCAGTTCTTTTAGAAATGCCTGGTTTAATTATGTATCATACGAAGGAATGAATGAAATAATTGGTGCATGAGATATTGATATATGAATAGATTAATAGAATAGAATAGAATAACAACTTTGTCACTTTGAATGTACACTAATCGTTAAATGAATTTCGTTGCATACAGATCTCCAAGGGTCACCACCTCCAAAATACACTACATAAACATTACAAAATAAATACAAAATTATGCANATCTCAGGGGCTGCCACAAAGAAGAGGGAGTCGAACTATTCTCCAAGGCATCTGAGGGTAGAACAAGAAGCAATGGATGGAAACTAATCAAGGAGAGAAGCAACCTAGAACTAAGGAGAAATGTCCTGACAGTGGAACAACTTTCCTCCAGAAGTTGTAAATGCTCCAACACTGGAAGTTTTAAAGAAGAGATTGGATAACCATTTTTTTGAAGTGGTGTAAGGTTTCCTGCATAAGCAGAGGGTTGGACTAGAAGACCTCCAAGGTCCCTTCCAACTCTCTTATTCTATTCTATATTATAAAATATGCACTTATGCACTAATGCACTAATTATAACATGGTTTATTTGGTTTTGTTAAACAGATTCATTTTAAGAAATGTCATGTTATATGAATTTAGGAAGATGTAGAATTTAGTTTCACATATTTCATATCCCTAGAAAGATTACCTTGATGGTGAAATAATTATTCACAAAGGATTTCAGTTATTGGATTCTTTCTATATGATATATAAAGAGGGAAACACTTAAGGTATGCAGAACTGACTTGAGTGTTGTAATGGTCTACAGTGTTGTATTGCAAAAGAAAAAAGAAACAGAAGATAACCAATAAGGAGAAATTGGAACTACTAAATCACTGAAGAGTGCCATCCATTGCTAGATTATTTGGTCTATCAATCTACTGCAGTATAACAATTAGTTCAGAGGCATTTTAAAAATGTAAATATCCCAAAAGTTGTCTTTTGGATATTCATGAATCATGTTTTCATATTTTTGTAGGTGCTGCTAGCTAGTTTATTGGAAGAATGGAACATTTGAAGCTAATATTAATAATATTTCTTATTTTATTTTAAATAGGAGTGTTTTACCACAAACTTTATCTCAGGACGCAAACTCATATATGTAAATTGTTCAAATCTGCCACAGCTTGGGATTACTGACTTTGATCATATGAAGGTGAGAGCACATATATATTTGCATTGGTGGTGAAGGATATTACTAGGCACAAAATATATTGTATAATGCCAGAGCTGTATACCAGCTTTTTATAATAGTACATAAGTATGGTATAGTGATTAAGATAGTAGCCTACAAACCAGGAAACTCTGAGCTCGAGTTCTACTTTGGACATGAAAGCAAGGTGNATCTGAGACACAGGTGCCTTCTAGGCAAAGTCTGCGCCGATGGAGGGTGTGGCTCGCCTACATAACTGTGGATGCTTCCAGTGCTGACTTTACTTCTGGATTGCATCTGTCTTGTGCTTATTGCTTTTTGGAACTCATTTGTGTGCCTTAGTCCAGGTTAATAAACCCAGTTATCAACCACATGAGTAGAGTTGTTAATGCTGGATTAGGTCCGGAGCTTGCCCTCTTGAGACAGGTTGGTTTAATTCTTATGAATATCAAAATTCAAAGATTAGCCAGAAATTATTTCATTGGAAAAGTTGTTGGCATTAAAAACTAAAAGTATTTTAATAGGACTGAATAGTTACATGGACAAATATATTGAGTTATCATATCAGAAAATAAAAAGGGAAAATGTGACATTGTTGTCCCCAAAACTGGGCCCTTGCTTGGTGTCGAAGCAGATAAGTCACCGGACACAAGGTGTGATACAGAATTATAGTTTTATTTTGGTACCAAGATATAAGGACACTGGTTTGAAAAGCTAACCAAGGGCCAAGATTAGAATCTAACAGCAGTTTTTATAGTCAAGAGAGGTCACATTCAACCCTTTGCCCTTCCCCTAATAATGCATGCATAACAGATAATATTAATTGGTTATTTGGATTTCAGCCCCTCCTAAACCCTTACGCTTGTTATGTTAAATAGCTAAATGTCACGTCACCTGTTTTTTATCCAAGGTCACGGGTATCTTGCAAAGTGTGCCAGTTATGTGGGTTTGGGGGGTTTTCTAATAAGCGAGCTATTCTTGTTCCTAATATCCTGGCTAGTGACTTTAAGGTGCTAACTTCTGTCTTGCTGTTAATGTGCAGGCTCCACCCCCACCCCTTCCTATTGCAGAGCAGAATAAAAGAACAAACAGTTTTATCTGAGGCAGCTCCCCCACGACTCCCCTCCTTCTGCAGAGAAAAGTAAAAGCAGTTTAAAACTTTTGTCTGAGGCAGCAACCTCCTTCCCCACCTCTCTGAGAGAGACAGGAAAAAGCTTAATTGTCAAGGCAAAAAAATGAAGACAAGAGAATTTTTTTTTATCAGAATTCATATTCCCCCCTCTCATGTCCATTGCATCCACACCTGGGTCCCATCTCCTCTGATCCCCAGGGCCTCATCTATGCATACATTCCATCATATGATCCTTCAACAACATGCTTATTATGCTGATTAATTATCTTGCTTATTTATTTTTATGCAAAATTAGGGAATATTTTCCCCAGAAATATATAATCTATTCTAGTGTATTGGTCCAATTACTGTATAGATAACCTTTGTCTCCATCTGTCAAAGAGGAGGGAGGGACAGGATTTATCTGCATGGAAAGAAGTCAAACTGGGCATTAATAAATTTCTGGGGGAGTTAGAGTGTGTTTGATTATGGCACTCAATTTGTAGGGCAAACACTATTTATGTCAATAGTTTTCTTTCTTTTAACAATACTTTGACGTATACTTTTAAACTGTCAAATATGCCTTTTGGCCTCAAACAGATAGGAGCCATTGATCCACACTTTAACCTACTCAAAATGCTAGCTCATGGTTTAATATGTCTTCCAAATCCCCCAAATTGGGCTTTGTACAAACTATGGTTCGGCAACGAGAAAAGATATCATGCAAAAATACCCTACATCAGCCTGTTCCAATCACATGTTCTCCAAATGTACAGAGATTGCAGCTTCTATAATCCTTAGTCAACTTGGGACATCTCCTGCTTGGGAATTCTGGAACATATTCTGGAACATATTTCAAAATCCAAAACTTTTGCAAGGTTAAGAAGATTAGTCTAGATTTATTACTATTCAACACTCTATTCATTTCTAATATTTTCATTTTGCAATATCTTTTGTATATTGATAGAGGTTTGACAAAACTAAACAAGCACCATAAATATTGGATAGTCTCATAAGAACATCCCCATTTATACAGCACCTCAAATGAGGTTCAAAGTATATATATATATGTGTGTGTCTGTATATATATATATACTATATACTATACTATATGTGTGTGTGTAATATATATATATGCATGCATCAAAAGTTAAAATTCTCAGAAAATAATATACTGTTGAATTATATACCTAGTACATGGAATTTAACAACAGGACAGTGTAAATGGATTCTTCGTGCCCTTGTTACAGTTAAAAGACTGATATGGCAGGATTGGAAATATTTACTTCATTTACTCAGTGGATGGAAGATTTGATTGCACTTGCTACTTAGGAGCAAATCGCCTATAGATGAAATCTTTGCATGAACAAATATAATGAAATATTAGACTCATTTATACAAAATAAAGTAGGTAAAACGTAACAGTTCTATAAGTGTATTAGAAATGGACACACATCATGTCTAGTGTTTATATTAAATAATTATGTAATCTGTTTATTGTAACAGCATATTATCCTTTATTTTTTGTTGTAATTTTTCATTCATTTTAATGCATTTGTTGTGCATTTTTTAAAAGTATGTATTTTTGTGTATCTTTTCTTTTTTTCTTTTTTCTCATCTTATTTTAAAAGCAATAACATTATTTTAAACAATGTTACAATTTGCACTAAAATAATTTAAATGGTTAGAAATTATCCACAAATTGGTTATCCTTTTCATATCCTTAAATGAAAAGCTAATACAATGGCTTCCTATATCTGCCTAATTTGTTCATGGTAGTGGAGCAATAATCTCTTGAAGCTGATTTTAATGCCATGAAAGACAGAAACCTCTATTTATTAGTATTAGTAAGCGAAGCGTGCGCTCAGCAAACCAGTAGTAACGCCGGAAGGAACCCACCACTGTTGCACTGTCAAAAAGGTTTGGAGACTACTGCTTTGGAAAATCACATATAAAACCTCAGGCCAGACGCTAATTTCATGTTTCTTCAAACCTCAAATTAGTGAAAACAGTACTTAACTGACATATTGTGACTACATAGGGAAAAAAGCAATAGCTTCTGGTATATAAAATAACTAATAGTTTTATCTCTATTACATGATGCAACAGTTGCGCCAAGCTACATTAGCCTAATTATAAAACAGCTGGTATGTTAGGGGAAAACATAAAAAATGCACAAGGGAGAATTCTCTCACAAACAAAATTATCAATGTTACAATATAAAACCATTACTGAAAGAAAAATGTCAGTCATATTATTATTCTGTTCATAAATACAACATGATACATGATGATATTCTCCCTCAAATTTCTTCATTGGTGGGTATGGTTTTGCTATTTGCTGACTCCTATTTTCTGACATCGACCTTATCATTACAATGCAAATTTATCTTTGGTTCAACATTAGGCTACCAAAATGCAAGAATACAGAAGAAGCACCAATCCCTCCATTAAAATATAGACACAACATGTCCAAGGATACTTCAATGGTGCTCTTATACTTCATCCATCAAATTGCTCTTATACTTCATCAATCAAATACAAGAAGCATCTCTAATAAATCAACTCCCCCACATGCATACAGCTTCTCTGTAGAGATTAACACAGAGCAAGATGACAAGATGGCCTGGAAGTAAAAGATTCTCCAGGTGACAAAGTTTCCAGGGAAACACCTGCTCCATCCTAACTAAAGGCATTATTCTAATAAGGGTTATTTACCTCCGTGGCCTATTACAATGTGCTGCTGAACACTGCATGAAAGGGACACATTCAAATTGGGTGGGCAGGGAAAAGGAGGAAAGGGCAATTCCCTCTCTTTCTCCCTCCCTCCCTCTTTCCCACTCCCTTTCTTTCTCTCCCTCCCTCTCTCCCCTCTCCCTCTCCTTTTCCCCCTCTCTCTCACACACACCGGATCTCAGTCCCTAAGGCCACATTTACTTTCCCCCAGACAAGGCAAGGGGTCAGCCAAACACAGGAAATCGAGGACGGTTGGCTGCATCTCACGTGGCTCTGCTGCCAGGAAGGTGTGACCTGTTGAATTCCTGCCTTGCAGGGTCGCAAGGAGGAAACTGAGTGGCGAAGAACCCCTTCTTCACTCGCGTCTCTCGAGCCCACCCTGACCTTCTGCCTGCGGGATCCTCGGCCCAACGGGGAAGCTCAAGGCCCGACAGTCACAACGGTTTCCCCCTCCACTCCTTTCTAACAATCGTCCCGAAAGTACCTGGTGGAGGTGGGAGCGGCAAAGCCGCCACACACTTCGCTTGCTCTTCGGCCACGCTAGGGCAGCAACTGTCGCCGCTGGCTCCGCTTTCCCGGCCTCCGAGCGCGGAGGCTTTCAACTGGGTATCCTCGAGAGCGGCCGCTTCGCCCGACATCGGAAAGCGAGACAAAGAAGCCCCCAAAGCGAGGAGAGGCGAACCAATCCGGAAACAGCCGAGAAAAGCCGAGCTTCCTCTGCTTCCTCTGACAGCGGCCGCTCCTCAGGCCTCCGCCCTACGGAGTTCCCGCCTAAATCCGGCCGCGAACGAGAGCGGTCTTCGTCAGGCTGCGACGGAGCGTTTCCCGATGACAGAGAGCGAAACGAGGAAAGGGAAAACGGCGGCCCTTCCCGGAAGAGCCGGTCGTCATGGAGATCGCTCTCCAGGAAGGACGCGTTGCCATGGCACCGGGAAAGTTTCCCCTCCTCCTCCATTGCTCCCCCTGCGGTCATCGGAACGATGGACAGTAGCTCGAATGTGCGGATTCATGGCGCGGACGATAAAAACGAGAAGGAGGAGGAGGAGGAGGAGGAAGAAGAAGAAGATGAGTGGGAAGACGAGGAAGAAGAGGAGGAGGAGGAAGAGGCCGAGTCGCCACCCCGCCGCCGCCGTCCTTTTCCCCTTAAATCTCAGTCTTCGGTCAAAGAAAGCAGCCGGCCGTCGGCTGCATCCGAAATTCTCGAAGCCGAATCGCTGCTCGAAGCCGAAGTCAAAGCTCCCATCATCGTTGGTCCTTTGTATTTATCCTGGACCCCCGAGGAGGTGGCTGAATGGATCGGCGGTTTGGGCTTCCCTCAATACAAGTTAAGGCCGGTTTTCCTTGCAAGCAGAAGGGGAGGATATTCTAGTTCACAGCTCATATTAAGCCATAGTTCCCCCCCACCCCAGTAGGTCCCAAACTGGCTTATTTAGGACACACACACACACGCGCGCGTAAATCAAGCCTCAACCCCCCCCCCAATAACTTAACCTTAAACTCTTTAGCGTGGACACACACATACTATTGTAAATCAAACCTCACC